TCATGTCAGTAAGGAGGTGAGCAGGGTATTCTTGTGATTAAGAGGATCCATAACGCACAGGCTTTAGTTCAGGTTGTGCTTATTGGGACAAGCGTTTCACATCTTGAACTAGAACCTCTTGAGACTGACACAGCCCAGCATTGTCTGATTTATTTAATCACACTTACATGAAATCAGATATATTCATCGACAGAGAACATTGTGAGCAAATTGAATGAAAGCATTACTCAACAGAATTTCTTTCTTTGATAATAGGAAATATGCAGTGAGTTTCAGCTAGCAGAGCTGCTGCCTGTAGCTCAGTAGCAGACCATCCACGAAGGAAATGAGGGCCAGACAGCTCCTGCTATCTGTGGCTTCTGCTAATTCCCTGCTTGACAAATCCATGTCCGGAGCTCCAACCAGTGCCCCTCAGGGACATTGCTCATAAGCCAGCAGCACTGGGAAGTTCCTAACCAGAGGCAGGAAGGAGTGACCTGCATTGCTGTTTGTTGAGGGAAATAAGTGATGGTCTCCTTTTGGGCATGTTTGGAGAATGAAAGGCGTCAGTGCTCTTGTGCAGGTGGGGGATGCTGAGCTGTCCTGCAGATTTCTGCACGCCTTGGCACTGCAGTCATGCTCCGTAGGGTAACTCCAGCCTGCAACTAGTGGCTGCACAACGTTAGATGCACACCAGCTTCCTCTTGTTGAATAAAATCAGCATTAAAATAGTAAATAACAAGACATACCTTGGGGCAGTGTATTGATTTCATTCTTGTGTTTCAGTAATTTTTTGAGGGAAATGGTGATTGTTTCTTGAAGTAGAACTGGGGGGCTGTGGATTTAGGTAGTGTTTGTGACTGCACTGTCACAAAATGTGCACACGAGATGGCATGCAGTAACTAATCTGCAGAACTCGGTCAGTTCTTCCAGTTTGTGGTCAATTAGATTTATCTGTAATCTTTCTGTATGGCTGCCTGTTTGGAAATACATTGATCAGTGACTTTTTGTGTGAATTAAAAAAAATATCTCACCCTTCTCAGAAGTATGAAGGTGGTTTTCCTCTGGTCATGTAGGTCTGTGGAGTCCCCAGATTGCACATGATTGGTCTTTCCATCACCTTGGCAAACGACAGAGATCTTGTTGCCAGTCAAAAGGAAGACAATACAACAAACTTTCTCAATGTTGTGTGCTTCAGAGTTTCTGTTATAAAACAGTTTATCCTTTTTTTCCAGAGCTATCTACATTTAAGGGCTTTGTTTTGCACACTGTTACAAATACATTTGCTGCATGCATTAGTCATTTACAGTACTTAGATCCTGTAACTATTAAATTGTTAACATTTGGAGCCAGCTATAATTATCTTTTATTATTATTATTTTTAATGGGCATAGCGCTTTCTTTCCTCTCTAGCTTTCCTAAACATTTGAGGGATCTCTGAGGTATCTGTTACATTGCAGTCATGCTGTTTGATTTCTGTTTATCGTGCTTGTTTTCTTATCTTTCTAAAATACTGCGACCACTAAGAACTTCCAGTCTGCACGAAGTGTTTTGTTCTCTTCAGTGTCTTAAATGAATATCCCAGAGCAAAATGTACCTTCAAGGTATGGCCACGGAGAATCCCATCTTCCCTGACCGGTTTGCATTCAGTGCCTGGAGAGCTGCCATAGCTGGGCACTCACACTGAGCGAAGCAGCTCTGTAAACTCAATGCACATCACACTGACGTAAATACTTGTTGCTTTTGATACCAAAACCTGTCTGAGAAGTGCACAGTACCAGTAGCTCACTGGCCATTCTGCTAATTTTTAAATTTTTTTTTAATGCTGTAGTTAGTTCCAGTTAGGAATGTAGGTTTTTCTTTGATTGCTGATTAAAAGCCTGAATGGGCTGCGAGCAAATCACTGAAGAGTTGGTTTTTTTTTTAATTCCTTTTTAGAATCATAGAATCACCAAGGTTGGAAAGGACCTAAAAGCTCATCCAGTCCAACCGCTCAGCTCTTACCAACAGCTCCCACTAAACCATGTCCCTCAACACAACGTCCAGTCTTTCCTTGAACACCCCCGGGGTCGGTGACTCCACCACCTCCCTGGGCATCCATTCCAGTGCCTGACCACCCTTTCCAAAAAGTAATGCTTCCTAATGTCCAGCTTGAATCTGCCCAGCCGTAGCTTGATTTTTCTTTATCTGAAACCATAAAAGCCAGAAGTGCTTGACTTCAGAACTAACTGCACTCCTTTTTCCAGTGTGCATTGGTCGATGGGAGAGGTGGAGGGACAGACAGATGGACGATGGCACTGATGACTCCTTTGTTCACATCTGGGGGACTGCCCACAGACCAGCATTTCTTTGAGCTTTTAATTACAGCCCCGTGGGTTTGGGGAGTGCTGCAAGGCCCTCAGCTGCGGTGCTACTGAGCGAGCTCTGTGCTGATGGTCTACATCAGTGATTTTCAGTGTGTTCTGCAAATTCCTGGAATTCCTCTGCTTATTGCTAAGAGGTCACAAAAATAACTGTGAAAAGCAACCAGTCATTAAGTGCAAAAGTGCTATGCTAACATTTCATCCTTCGATGGAGAACTCAAGGTAATCAGAAGATGGAGAAGGCTGGAAGCAGTATTATAGATCCTCTGGTGTGTAATTTTTAGCTGGGATTCTTACAGAACTCTCATGATCCTCTGACCCCGCTGGATAATTCCATACAACAGCAGTGACTATCTTCTCCTTTCCCAATTCATCTGCCTGTCACAGTTGTTGGTGTGGTTTCAAATACACAATTCCTTCACGTTGAGTGTGTTGGACCAGCTTAACGCAGCAGAAGACCATTGCAGCATGGGGCTGGTAACCAGTACTGGGTGTACTTTCACCCTGTCTGAAAGGCAGTGGCCACTAAATATAGCACAGTGAGCTGTTTTGGATTATGTAACACCTCTATCCGCCTGTACTCTGATTAAATAATCTATTTTCTTGGCAAAGGAGTAGGACTTAATTTTCTGTTATTGATCAAAACCATATTTGAGCTGTGATACCCAGGACTTATTTGTCTTGCTGCCTGCTGGATTGATTTTTGTCACTCCATTGGTAGCAGTGATGTGATGTTAGCACAGAGCCAAGCCAGGTGCATGCAGTGCTCACCCAGGTCACTGTGCAACAGGCTCTGTGTATGCATAGTATGCAAGCCTTGCCCTTTCTCTTGCATCTTTATTACCATTTCTTTGGTAATCTATTGTCTGATATCTGTACTAACTAAACTTTAGTAAATAACCTCTCTTTCCCCCACATTTTTTGTAGTTAGTTCCTGTTTGCTCATCTCTGCTGCCTGAAGTTGCCAGCGAGTCTGGCCCTATCTTCTCTGTTTGTTTAACAAACACTTCAGGAGCACAGTAAGGTTCCCTGAATTACTGATTTACTGCTTAATGCCATAAAAGGAGCTAAGCCTAGAGAAAACAGAGGAAGACTAGATACACTTTGTTTAGAAAGTTAAACTCTTACACATACAGTGCAGGAGCTTGCACAAAATGTCCAAAGTTAAAAAGAAGGGGAAGCTGTGTAGCTGTGCACATGCAACAGGGAAGCACCCAATTGATCCCTGCAGACTGAGACAGACTGACTGCATCTTTGCAACCACTGTGTCCCCAAAGCATCCCATCAGACATGCACCCTGATGTGCAGGTGCATCCCAGTTCACATCCAGCCCATGGGGCCAGCTAGGCAGCTTACAGCCCGGCCAGCTACCAGGTGAGGATCTCAGTGCTGTCAGCTTAGTTGTGAACCATGCACAGGTCTTGTGACTCCAAGACGCACTGGCTAACAGTTAGTTATTAAAAAATAAGCAAATCCAAAAGTGAGATGTGCATTATTTTACCTCTTTTCTCTGCTGCAGCTGTTCACGCAGTTAGAAAGGATGGTTTTTGTCCACTGGAGAGATGATGTCTGTGACATCAGTGTTTGTCTGGATATAGCAAAGTGGCTGAGGAACTACCATTAGCAACAGAAGACTATTTCCAGTTCAAACATCACTTCTGTGGAAATACTAAACCTGTTACATAAAAGGTTGAAACAGAATAATCAAACAGTTCAGTACCTGCAATACTTGTCAGGCCCGGAGCTGTTTCACTTCTGCAGTTTTTTTAAAGGCTAACAACTGTTGAAAGGGAAATAGAGAACGGGAAAAGTGCTTCTGCAGATAAAATTGTAACAGGTTAAATTAGAAAATACTGCATTGCTGTCCTCCAAGGGCCCGCAGTAGTATCTGGTGTTGTTGTTTTTTACCAACAATTATTTTAAGTAACTTCTTTGTCTGGTATATACCTAGTTTTGATTCTGTTTAGACAGGCACTCTGTCAGTCATATCAGTGAGCATCTCTTACCATACAATGCAACTGAAGGCTTAAGTTAGAAGAGGACAGAGCAGCTTTTATGTATTCAGCAAAGATGTAAAAATAATACATGCCAGCTGCTCTGCTGGTCCCAGCGACTGGCGTGAAGCTGTGTTGCTTCGTTCCCACACAGCAGCTAATTGGGGCCAGCCTACCCATCAGCAGCTCCTGGGGAAGTGGAGGCTCAGGCTTCTCAGGTTGCCCCACTGGGGTGAGAGCAGGGCTGGAGCAGGGCAGGGGAGCGAGGCAGGCAAGGCTTTCATCTGGAGACTGGGAGGTTGTTCTGTGTCTCAGGTGATCGGTCTCCCTTAAGTACTAATGAGCTGTGCTTGCTGTGCTGATTCAGGCAGTACCTGCTTTTTCTCCTTGCTCCTGTTTATTTTCTCTGTTCAGTCTGCTTCCTTTCCCTCTGTTTTTTCTTTCTGCCTGTTTTTCTGTGTTTTTTTTTGCTTGTTTGTTTGTTTTGTAGCTTTGTCACTCAGGTCAGCCAGATTCATCCTACTGATAGTAATGATAGTAATAAACTGAAACTGCAAAACGGTGGCATAACTGCAGTTTGACAGAAGTAGTGCTTCCTTTCAGAACAAAGCTAGAACAAATTGGGAAGAGAAAACTCTATTTGTAATTGGATACGTTATTGTAAAGATAGCAATCATCCTGGTTGTTAATCTTCAGCAAAGCTCATGGGAAAGGTAAAGGCTGCTCGAAATGTACAGTATAACACATCCCCCATCGTGGCTTATGCTATTTTCAGCCCATTTATTGGGTAGAAGGACATCAGTTGCCTTTATCAGAGACCATGTAATGCAGTTTTCTCCAATAGCCAGAAGGAAATACTTGTTTCAGTAGCTCGCAGAGAATAGGCACATCACCTACATTCACTTCTACAGCCAAGAGCACTAAAGCATTCAAATACGTCTCCCACTTGAATGCTGTGTTGCTGCAGAGTCAATATTTAGTCTTTCTTGTGCACAAAGAGCATATCCTTAAAATAACTGAAGGAAAAAGGAAAAAGGAAAAAGAAAAAGGTGTATTTCCATACAAATTCTAAAAAGTATTATTGAAGTATTGTTATTGCACTTAATGTTAAAGCAGTGTCTGGATGCTATGGGAGCAGTTGACCAGGTAGGGAAGCAGGATGTTAGCATATTTGGGTGCCTGTTAGTAAATGCTTGAAGGAACACAGGAGGAGCACGTTAAGCCTGACTGGATGTGTTTTATCTTGCTTCATGCCCGCAGATCCTTTGAAAGACCACGGGGTGCTGTTGTAGTCTTCACAGTGCCAGTTACCAAAGTCAGGTGTGATAGAACAGAGAGAACTGATTGAGGCAGGTGTGGCTTTCTCTTCTTTGGTCCGTTATATTTACCCCAATACTTGTTCAGGCCACTGGAAAATTACTGTTCTCCATAAGGCAGGAGCTGATGTTCTGTCATTGCTGCAGTGGTAAACAGTAATTTTCCATTGATATATGCCTGTGGAGTGACACATGTACATAAAACTGCCTTGCTGTACTGTTTTATTTTCAAACGGATTTAAATCTGTTTCATTGAATTTAGGCCGAGTTAAAGAAAAGCTTTTTATAGATTCTTACAGTGATGGATAAAGGTACAAAATAACCAGGTGGAGAAATTAATAGTTATCTGTATTTCCCAAATTACGGAGCTCCCCAGCTCTTTTTGCGGTTAAGGGCAGGAGATGCTGAGTGCCTCTGAAAGAAGCTCCTGAAGATGAATTTGGTACGTTGCTATAGTAAAAACTGTGAACGTAGTCCAACTTTTGAGGCTATTTTTGTTTGGAAGCAAACAAACATACAGAAATATGTGATATTAGCATTCATGGAGAATGAGAGAAGATTGCCCATTTTGTGATTTTAACTGTTCGAAACCTAGTCGTTTTTCAGATGTATGTGATGATTCTGGCCAAAATAAAATAAAAAGCAAAAAAAAAAAAAGGCATCAGCAACACAAAGTGCATGACCTTGCCCAGGCATATACACACATTTCCCATACTGTAACTCCAGTGACATTATTCAGTTAAAATATCTGTGTGTATATTTAGCGGATCTTTAATCGAAGCACAGACTAACCTTCCTGCTGATCCTTCAGGGTTTGAAATACATCATTCCCTTAAAAAGGAATGATACCTAGGATGCCTCCAATTAAGGTATCTGATTTTGGGTATGTGGTCTGCTGTAACTCCATCAGTAAAATAAGTAAATGTTGCAGGTGCTTCATTTCTAAAATCACGTCATGTCCGTTATTGTTACTGTTAGGCATTTGAAGAAACAATTATGAAACAGCTTATGCAAGTTGCAGAGCAGCACAGGTAATCAGTTACTGCTCTTTAAGGACGTTTTCATTTTGTATTCATTACACTGTTGTTTTTTTTTTTCCAAGCAGAAGCAAAACTGGCAATTTCTGCTGTGGTACAGTGGGAGCAGAGCAGAACAGCCAGCCCTAGCACTGCAGGAGCACAGCTTTCAGCCCCGCTTCCCAAGGAAACAGAGCTTCCATGGCTTTGTGATCTGCATTACTGCCAACCTGCTGGGTGCTCAGCGTGCAGTTGGTCAGCTAACCTCCTAAATTAACTTGTGATTGACTTCAGTGGAAATTAACAGCATTAAAGATCCCCAGGACAGGGAGCTCTGGTGTCTCCGGTAGGAATTGGGAGCGGGTAGGAAAGGCAGACAGATCAGCTATGTGAGTGGAGGGCTGCACCTGGAGAGCAGCAGCTGCTCTGTGCACTTGTTGATTGAGCAGCCATGTCCATGTTGCTGGAAAGCATCCATAATCCGTACTGCATTTGTGAGCAGGGAGGGGAGGAGATGATATTTAGGAGACAAGGGAGTGACCTAGAAATATTGTAGGAGGATGTAGCACCGGGGGGCAGCGACACAGCACAGATGGGACAGCTGATACTGTTACAATAGATACTGTCCAAACAACGCTATAGGAACAATCGATAGGAAACAGTGCTTTATTTGTATTTAGGCTTATGGGAGAATGTGCTATTTTAGCCACTGACTCAGCTCTGTGCAGGGCATCACCAGGAACAGCGTGCAGGATTTCAGGGTGTCAGGTAAAACTCTTGCCCTACTGAATCTCATTTTGCAATGGTGCTGATTTGTTGCTTTCTATTGAGGATTTTGCTCGTTGTAGGAATCCTGTAGATCAAATCATGAAAATGCATGAGAATGCATGCAGCTTCACTTCAGAGGCCATTCCTTGTTCTCTTCCATCAGGCCAATGCAAATCACCTTTTTGGATCAAGCCAGTATTGACCAAGTCTTGTAAAATATTGCACTAATGATAGCTGGTCTGTTTAATTCTTTAACAAATTAACTGACATTGAAAGCTCAGTGAATAGATTGCAGAAATGGCCAAATCCTGGCAATAGGAATAGACAGCTGGTGAGCAGGAGCAGACCTGGAGCTTTAGATGTCCCACTGATTTGCTGGACATGTTCTGGAAGTTGGTGACGTTCATGGCAGGTGGGAAGGTGTTCAGGTTTGTGAGCCTGGGAGCAGATCGGATCGAGTTGCCATTAAGAAAGCAGCCACTTCCCAAAATGGCTTGCAGAGGATGGTTTCAATTAGGGTTTCTCCAGGTGTGGAGTGAGTGGGCAAGAAAGGGGTCCTTTGCATTGTCCAGCATGAGATGCGCTTTCCTCCTGCTTCCATTGGGACCAAGAAGAAGCGAGGAGATGGAAAAGATGGAGAACAGTGAGGAACTGGCTTTGTTCATGAGGAGAGCAGATTTGTCATGTAGGACCTCTACAGCTCATGTTTGAGTCTTTGGGAAATTATTTTCTTATCAAATCAAACTGCAGAGCGTGCCCAAAAGAACCGGAATGAGTACAGTGCAAGGACCAGAAGGTTTAATAACGATGTCATCTTCATGTGATTAATAAGACTGCTGATTTCCCACATCTTATCAGCCGACTGTAACTCTGCTTTGTATATTTGTTATCTCCATTTTCTGTTGTAGTGTGGGTAGATAAATAAAATACCACGGAGGCAACAGGAAACAAAACAAAAGTAATCAAACATGTTTATCACTAGAGCATTAAAATGGCTGCTCTGGCAGACACCAGATGAATTATGCAATACATAACTTAATTCTCTGGGCCACAGATGTTTCATTTTTCCTGCAAGAAGATGATTGAACCTTGAATGACAGTTTCAGGCAGTCTTTGATTGCTCTGTGGGTCACATGCTTGATATGACCTGCATTTGAGTTGCTTTCTACATGCTGTTGCTTTATAAAACATGTAAAATTGACATCATGTTGGCTGCTCAAGGCCAAGTCAGGAGTAATTCCATGCTTTTGATATGCTTTGTGTGTGAGTGAAACGGGGGGAAGGATGCCTGTGTTTAAATTCTGATGTGTTATTGAATCAACTGGAGTCAGGAGGGGGGAATTGCAGCAGGTTCTTTCAATTTGTGATAGGAGGCACTAGGAAATACAGAGTTTGTCATATCTGTGTCATCTTATATTGTTAGACAATCTTTAGAGCTGTAGTATTGCACCAGGCAGTGACTCCGGCTGCCCAGGGCACAGCGCAGTGCAGATTGGCAGTGGTGGAGAGGGCAGGTAGGAATGTTGGTTAGTCTAAATCAGCACCTCTGAGCACGAATGTGCCTCACGTTCTGAACCTGGAGATTGTGTTCCTCACCTTGAGGACTTCATCCAGTAAATTTGATGGGTTTGTACTGATTCTGGTGCAGCACGTCAATCTCAGTGTATGTGCCTCTAGGTACTAATGCAGGCTGTATTCAGGTGTAAATACATCCAGAATTAAGCATCCAAAAGGTCTCATTTTCTCCACAGCTTCTGAAGGCAGGTCCAAATGTTTGCTCCAGAGCTGCACTGCTGAGCTGCCTCTCCTTGCCTGCTGGCATTAGAACCTGCAAGAGGACGAGACCTCACCTCTCACCTGAGGTCTGAGGCTTCTCATCCACTCCCAGAGAAGCTGGAAACTGATTTTTAGATGAGACTGAGCAAGGCCATTTGTTTCTGTAGGTTTCAGGTGCAGACATAATCTCATGCTACAGCAGCCCTCTTTGAACTCCTCTATGAGCCAAAGGATCCTTACCAGCAATGTGGTGGGAGGGAACACACAATAATCCGAATCGGGACACTCCTGATTCCTGCTTTTAACGTTGCTCATAAGGCTCTGTGGGGTAGAGCAGAAATACTTAATGAAGTAGGGCATGAGCCTAGGAGGAAAAAAGGATGGATGGCATTTCTTTTCTGGTGTCCCTTTCTGTAACAGGCAGTGCGATGGCTGGGCACACAGCACAAAGAGGAGCTGTTGCTGTCCAGAGAAAACCAAAATGATCCTTGAATGAGGATGTTTAAAGGGAGGAATGAGCCCTAGGGGAGCTCAGCATTCGTGTTGGCTGTGGTACAACATTTATAAATACATAAGAAAATATGATTGTCACTGAATTAAAAAGTGCACCATCTATTTATAGGCTGGGCTAGTCCTTAATGCAGCGCGCCTTCGCTCTTCTTCATTCCAGCTGCTGACGTTGAGCATTCCTTGGTGTGCAGTGTGTGCTGAGGTCACGTGCTGTAAAACTATGGGACTCTGAGATTCCAGGAGCTGACATTTTCCTGTTATATATAACTTTTTCTCTTTGTATTTTATTAGTTAGTGTCATTCATACCAGTTTCTCTCTGTAAAAAATGATTAATCAAACACTGCTGATCTTTAGAAACTCTGCTCCCTGTTGTATCACTGCAGCGATGCTGATTTCTGTGTACTTTCGGCTGCCCCAAAAGCGTTACCTCTTCTTATATTATAACAAAGTGCTTACAGGTTTTCTTAGAAAACAATGTATCTACAGACTCAAAGAGCTTTTATTCTACAGGGGCTTGTTTTATTTCCTTCTAGCAATCAAGAGTGTTTTGCATTGTCCAAATACTGTACGGTATCTTGAGCTTTAGAAACTTTTGTATAAACTTTTCTTTTATCTCTGTCAATATTTGATGATTGCTTGACATCTTTCAAGCACCTGAGACATGATTTGTTTGGAGGTTATACCTGCAGCCGATGGGAAGGCAACTCACAGCACTAGCGTGGTATGTTTAATGAGAAGTGTTTGCATGAGGTTTCGTTCATTTCTCAGCTTCAATCTGTATGCAGTGCACTGCGTTGTTGCAGGGCTTCCAGTGAGGGGGGAAACGTGACTTAATTTCCAAAAAACCAAAAACCTGGAAAGTTAGGTTTGAGTCTCTCTCCCTTTTCCTGG